GAAGAACGTCAAGGGTCCGCGCGACGCCGCCCGCAGCCGCCTCTTCCAGCGCCTCGGCATGATGCTGCGCACGGCCGCCCGCGGTAGGGACCCCCCGACACCCACCCCCACCACGGGGGTCCCTGGGGGGGTGGGACCCCATCGGTTCTTCCAGGGTTGGTGGGACCCCATCGGTTCTTCCAGGTTAGGTGGGACCCCATTGGTTCTTCCAGGGTTAATGGGGCTCTGTAAGGTCTTCTAAGGATGGTGGGACCCCATCGGTTCTTCCAGGGTTGGTGGGACCCCATCGGTTCGTCCAGGGTTGGTGGGACCCCATCGGTTCTTCCAGCGTTAATGGGGCTCTGTAAGGTCTTCTAAGGATGGTGGGACCCCATCAGTTCTTCCGGGGTTAATGGGGGCCCATCAGGTCTTCCAGGGTAGGTGGGACCCCCTTGGCTCTTCCAGGGACCCCATCGTGTGTTCCCAAGCTTGTGGGACCCCCTCAAGTCAAGTAGGACCCCCTCGGCTCTTCAAAGGTTGGGGGGACCCCATCGGGTCTTCTAGCCTTGGTGGAATCCTTGTGGGGGTCCTCTAGGGCTGGTGGGATCCCAGGTGGGTCTTCTCAGATCTCCCCCACCCTGGGTCCCTCTGGAGGGTTGTCTCATCCCTGGTGCCCCCCAGGATCGTGCAGCCCAGCAGATCCCCTCCGCCAGGATCCTGGAGGTCCCTCAACCCCACCAGACACCCTCCAGGATCTCTCCACCCCCAGGTCCCCTCAGCCCCACGTTCACCAGGATCTCTTGGGGTTCTCCACGATCTCAGACACCCTTTAGATCCTTCCAGCTCCCCTAGGATGCCCCCCACACACACCCCAGATCCTCTGAGATTTGGGAAGGGTTTCCCCACCCCCCCTGATCCCACCTGCACCCCCTTTTTTTCCCCACAGAGGGGGGCCCGGACCCAGCGCTCAACACCCAGTTGGCCAACGTGGTGGAGCAGTGCCGGGCCAAGAACATGCCCAAGGCCTCCATCGAGGCAGCCATCCGTGGTGCGGTAGGTAGATTTTGGGGTGGTGGTGGTAGGACAGGGGGGATCGAGCCCTCCAACTTTTGGGGGGTGAGGGGGGGATCCCTGAGGACCACCCCCTCCCTGCTCCAGGAGAGATCAGCGGCAGCAGCGTCCCGGCTCCTCTACGAAGCCCGTGGCCCCGGTGGCTCGGCTCTTCTCCTGGAGGTCCTCACCGACAACCCCCGGCGCAGCCAGCAAGATGTCCGCCTCATCCTCACCCGCAATGGGTCAGTCCTGGGGTTTGGGGGGGACACCCTGGGGACCCCCACGTCTGGGGCTGAGTGGAGTCGCGGGTTCCTGCAGGGGGACCATGGCCGAGGGGTCACGCCACGGCTTCGAGCAGAAGGGGGTGGTGCGCGTGGGGCCACGGGACCTTCAGGGCCACCCCGTCTCCCTGGAGGCCGCGCTGGAGGCAGCGGTGGAGGCCGGGGCCCAGGACGTCTGCCCGGACGAGGATGAGGAGGAAGAGGAGGAGCCGGCGCTGAAGGTGGGTGAGGAGGGTGGTGGGACAGTGGACGTTGAGTTTGGAGCACTCTTGGTGCTGTTCCATGGCCACCGTGCGCCGTTTCTGACCATCTGCAATCACCGTTGGTTGTCCCCAACCCCTCTTGGATATTTCAGGCCATCCAGGGGCACAGTTGGTTGTCCCCAATGAGTCTTGGCCACTCCCTGACCACTGGTAGCCATGTCTGACCATCCAAGACCATTTGCGACCACCATTGGTTGCCCCTGACTGTCCCTGGCCACTCTCAGCCGTCCTTCGGCCATCCCCAACCACCCTTGGCCATCTCTGGACCATCCTCAATGGCTCTTGACCATCCCCAACCACCCTTGGCCATCTCTGGACCATCCTCAATGGCTCTTGACCATCCCCAACCACCCTTGGCCATCTCTGGACCATCCTCAATGGCTCTTGACCATCCCCAACCACCCTTGGCCATCTCTGGACCATCCTCAATGGCTCTTGACCATCCCCAACCACCCTTGGCCATCTCTGGACCATCCTCAATGGCTCTTGACCATCCCCAACCACCCTTGGCCATCTCTGGACCATCCTCAATGGCTCTTGACCATCCCCAACCACCCTTGACCATCTCTGATCCATCCTCAATGGCTCTTCACCATCCCCAACCACCCTTGGCCGTTCCTGGTCCCATCCTTGATGGCTCTTCACCATCTCTGGTCCATCCTCAGTGGCTCTTGACCACCTCCAACTACCTTTGGCCATTCTCTTGACCATTCCCAACCACCTTTGGCCCTTCCCCACAGTTCATCTGCGAGACCTCGGCCCTGAGGACCGTGCGGGAGCGTCTGGAGGCCTCGGGGCTGCGCCCGCTCTCGGCCGCCATCGAGTACTTGCCCCGGGACCGGGTGACGTTGCCGGAGGGGACGCGGGAGCAGGCGGAACGTCTCCTCCAGGCCCTGGGCGACTGCCCCGACATCGTCCGCCTCTACCACAACATCCAATAGGACATGGGGGGGGGGGGGGGGTGGTGTTATTTGGAAAGGGGGAGCCGGGTGGGGCCATGAGCTCAGCCCATCTTGGTCCCCAGCCATCCCTGTGGTCACTGGGACACGAGGGGTCCCCCCCCAATTGGGGGGGATCATGTCCCCCCCCCCCCCCCCCCCCCTATATTTTGTCCCCTCGATGACAATAAACCCCCGTTTTGACCATGGCTCCACCTCCTTCATGGGAGACCACCAACCCAAGGAGCTTCAGGAGCAGGGAGTCCTGGGGTGAGGTCGCCCCCCATGTCCCAAACAAAGATGGCGGCAGCAGAAGGTGGGGTCATTTATTTGGGGGACCAGGGGGTTGTGTCTGTGTGGGGTCACTCATCGGAGCCGGTGGGGCTGCCGAGGAAGATGTCGGCGTAGGCGAAGGTTGGGGCAGCCCCTTCTTCCTCCTCCTCCTCATCGTCGTCCTCATCATCGTCGTCGTCGTCCTCTTCTTCCTCCTCTTCCTCCTCCTCATCCTCGGGGTGGAGGAAGGCCCCAGCCTCCCCCTGGAGGAGCTGCCGGACTGTGGGGTGGCTGAGGCCGAAGAAGTCGTCGCCGGCCCCGGGGGCCGGTGGCATCGCCCGGGGCCTCCCCCCGGCCTCCCCCAGGGCTTGGAGGAGGCGGCCATGGCAGACGTCGGGCGTGGGGCCCACCAGCACCCTCCCGGGGTCGTCCTCGGCCACGATCTCGCAGCGGGGACCGGCCACGATCCGGCACGTGTAGAGGCAGCGCCGGGCCGGCCGGCGGGTGCTGGCGAAGAGGCGGGTGCTACGGAAGCCCAAGGGCAAGATGGCCCCCGGCCCCACACCACCCACACCCAGGCTGTGCACCGTCAAGGGGCCCAACACCAAGGGCAAGGTCAAGGCCCCGCCGCGCCGACGGGGGGGTGTCCTCAAGATGGCGGCCGGTGGCCCAGCTGGGCTGGGGGTGTCCTCCGGTGGCATCAAGATGGTGGCCGGCGGCATGTCCAGCTTGGGGCCACCTCTGGGCCCGTTGGGCCTCAGGTCATCCCGAGGCCCCGTTGGCCTCAGCCCGTCTCTGGACTCGTCTCTTGGCCCCATTGTCCGCGAACCGTCTCTTGACCCGTCCCTCAGCCCATTGGACCGGGACCCGTCTCCGTGGCCACCATCTCTTGGCCCATCTCTGGACCCCGTTGGCCTCGCCCCGTCCCTCGACCCCACAGGCCTTGAGCCCGTTGTCCTCGCCTCGTCCCTTGGTCCGTCTCTTGGCCCTGTTGGCCTCAACTCATCCCTTGGTCCATCTCTTGGCCCCGTGGCCCGCGCTCCATCTCTGGACCCCATTGGCCTCGACCCATCTCTTGACCCTCCAGTTGACCGCCCGCCGTCTTTCCCTCCATCTCGGCGACGGGGCCGGCGGCCGGTCACCTCCCCGGGGACCTCCTCGGGGCCGGCCATGGCCCGCAGCTGGAGAAGACGGGTGAGGAGGAAGCGGCGCTCGTCCCGCGCCCGCAGGCACTTGGCCTCCAGACGGGCCACCTCATCGCAGAGGGCACCATTCTCGAAGACCAGGGCCCGTGCCGCCCGCCGCAGACGGCTGTACTTCAGGCGGTACCGCTCCGCCGGGCGCTGCCGTGGCCCCTTCGGCATCCTGGACCCCTCCCCTTAATTAGCTCCCCCCACCCCGGGGCTGTTAATTGGGTGGGTCGCACTTGGGTCTCAACGGTTGGTTCCGTCGACGAGGAATTAATTGCCGACCCGTCTCCACCGCCACCTCCGATGCGATGAGGGGTTCCGGGTGCCGTGAGCTGCAATTAATCCAATTAATCGCCGTTAATTTGAGGGGTTTGCAATGTAATTTGAGGGGTTTGCAATTAATTTGAGGGGGTTGCGATTAATTTGAGGGGTTTGCGATTAACGCCACGGGCCGACACAGCGAAGCCGAAGCGGTCGCGACGTGTTTTAAGACTCGCAATGGGCGCCGCCATCGCAACCGGTCGCCGTTAATTCTCCGGGTGGCAATTAACTCCGCGGATCGCAATTAAGGCCACGGGTGGACGCAGCAAATTGCAAATGAGCGCCACGAGTTCAAGGCGCCCCAATTGCAATTAATCGCTCGCCATCGGATGGGTTCCAATTAAGGGGTCAACCAAGGGGTCGGCGCAGCAAATTGCAATTATTGCAACGAGCTTTAGAGCTGCCACGAAACAACTGCAATTAATTCTGCATTTAATGCAATTAACCGCCACTAATTAGGTGAATTGCAATGACCGCGAGGGGTCGACGCGGCGAATCGCGGCGATGGCAATTATCGGGGTGGGGGGGGAGGGGGCTGAAATTAAGCCATTCTCGCCATAAATCGCAATTAACCGCCCGGCGCGGCGCGATTAATTGCAACGCTAATTGCCCCCCTCGCCGGCCCCGATTTTTGAGGTGAAACCCGGCGATTTGAGGTGCGCCGGAACAGGGACTCACCGGGCGTCCGGGCGAGAGGAAGAGGAAGAGGAAGAGGGGGATCCAGACCTCCTGCAGCTCTTTGGGAACGTGCTCTGGGTCTTGCAACGTCCTGGTCCTGAGGAGCCACCACCAGCCCCAGCACTCGTAGATATTAACC